TTACTAAAACATGTAACATTATAATTTAGTATACATGTATAATGTTTAATTGTGAACATTTGAATTGTATTATAATATTGCTTAATAATGATTGTTGCAAGGTTAAATGTATACTGCCACCATATTGTGTAAATATGCGACTTCGATCTTTTGAAATTATTAAACTGTGCTATAAATGCACATTTCATACCGGGAAGAGGATGAGAAATAAACGGTGCCGTTAATTATTACAGTTGTAGATATCACTTTCATAGAGATAATGATTGTTGTCCAGCTTGTGGCATTTATCATATTAATTTATGTATCCTTGGATGTTGAAGCCGCCAGTAGTTGCTATGGTGCCGGCAGGTGTAATTGGATACGATGGGAGTCATGGTCAGCCTGTAGTATGACATTTGGCGGGAGAACTAGAAGGAGATATAGGTTATATTGCTGTAAATTAAGCTTAGTAAGTGACATAGAAGCTTGTTTGGCGGACTGCTATCGTGATAAAGACTATTACTATACGTATCGTTCTGAATCTGAGACCTGTAATAGATGGTGTTACAACAGTGGTTACATCAATAGGAATAATAATTGCAGTCGTAGTGATACATTCTATGGAACGTGTTGTGAAAATCGTAAGTAAATAGAACTTATTTGGTAACCAAACGTGGTTGTATTTTTATAATTCAATTTATAATTACATTAAGTATTTATGCCATTCTACAAATATTTACTCGTATCCTCAAAATCCATCCCTTGTGCAATGGTTGCCTGCGTAGGTATAAAACTCTGACGTTTTGAGACACCAGATAATCCGCTCCGTGGGTATAAAATTTTGACATATCGGGATACAAAACAATCCGCTGCATGGGTATAAAACTCTGAAGTTTTGGGATACCAGACAATCCACTTAATATAAATATATGCTCTTTGCCTTATCTTTCTTTAAAATGAAATGTAAATAAAAAGGAATAACGGTATATTACAGTTCAAAAGGTATGTGATCAGAATCTGAAAGATATATTATCTGTAAAACCTTAGACCGGTACGATGATAATACAATATAAGAATGTCATTTGGAATGGTTTATTAAGCATATTTGTAAACATTGACAGGACTTTTAAAGGCGTTAATAAAATTATCAAAAAATATTCATACCACATATATGATGCTTAGCAAAAATTGAGAAGTATATTTTTCTGATTTTAAATCATAAGTCAATACTGATATTACTGATGTGATTAACGGTAGCATAGCCTTTTAATTTGTTTTTGAAATTTTAAAAAATGTTCGCGAAGTGAAAAACATAGTTGAATTTGATAACTTAAGAACAATAAAAAAGACACAATTCATCGCGTTAATAGGATTTTCTTTTGGTACTTTATATAAAAAACAGAAACATTTATTTTTGGAATACTCAATGACAATGTGTTTTTATTGTTCATTTAATGGTTTTTACTTGAAACAAACAGAAATATTCGTGTAGATAAAGAATTAAATAAAGGTAACGATAAAGGATATTGTTTGAGATTACCGTATATATAGAGTTTGATTTATAAACGTTTGGATAGAAAATAAGTTTTCATATAAGCAGGAGCTGTGTACGTGAATACAAAAATAAGTAATCATGGTATTTAACATTGCAATAGTGCTTTTTGGTAGACAAAACATAAGCGAGTATAACATTGCAACCGTTAACTGAATATAAATTTAAACTCCAAGGAATGATGATAAGGTGTTTGAACGCGTAACGTCAAGCGATGCTAAATGTGCGCTTAGTTGCTAAATAATGGAAGAGTGTATGACTGTTTTTAATGAAGCTGACGGCGATAAATAAACGGTTACCGTACACTTTTCTCTTCTTTTATTCATAAAATATACATGTTTTATGTATCAAACTATCTGATATTTTCCTATCAATTTAACATTGTAGCAACGTGGGCATGGTACATTGGAATCATTCTTGTAAACGGTGAATGGTGATACTATGAAACGAATCAGCTCGTGCAGTTAACAGACTTTAAGGTTTTTGAACAAGGGGGAAGGGTTGTGCACTATTTCCTGATGGATATGGCTACCGGTGGACAGAGTTCGAGTGTGAACATCCAACCTACGGCTTTCCTACAATATGTGAAAACAAAGTCTTGTAACTCTTGCATCACTGTTTTCTTAGAGAGTTTCTTTTAGATGTGACTTACATGTATATAATTTATTTTAACACAAACTTTGTCACATGTGAAAGAAAGATTACCGAAAGCATTTTGAGTCATTTATTAAATAAACCGGATGTATTCGCCTGCAGCTTGATTGATTAAATAAAAAAACAATTTATGTTCAATGTCCCTAATGCGTTTTTAATTCTCTATTTCGATTATTCACTACGATTTCTGTGATTTTCCGTGTAATAAAATTTAACAAATTATTATTTTTGCCATTTGAAAATCAGGAAATATACATTAAGTCTTTCAACTGCGTTTTGAATTATTGAACAAATCTGCAGTATTTCTTAGCATTTTGAAGAATTGAGTACATCTAAGTTTTCTCTTACGTTTTGACTAAGGAATAAATAGCAGTTTTAAAAGTTAAATAAATCTATAGTTGTCTTAAGTTTTTGAATAACTAGATCAATCGATGTTTTTTTTCAGATTTTTGTATCTTTGCATTTAAATAGTTGATGGTTCTTTTCAATTTTGTTATTTACTTCGCATGAAAGATAGATAACTTACGTGGCCCACGGACATTTCTGTAAATATCCATCAGAATTTACCTAAAACTATCAATTTCTAAAAGGACTGTGGCAGTTTATACAAAATATATTTTTGTTAGTTATTCTGATAAATATAATATTTACTTAAGCTCACCATTGTTTCATCGAAATCCCGTAATATGACATAATATGACTCCTTTTAGTTAAATTATTTGTTCTATGGCTTTGACATTCACAATATTATGATGGCATGCCAAACATCGTTTGGAGAAATTAACAAATTATGTATAAACCCTGGGATAATTAGATAAATGCGTTACTGATGAAGCATTGTTTTAAATGTCGTGGTGAAACAGAAGTAGAAAATATGTTATGTTTTGGTAATTTCATCATTCAAAGTAAAAAATATTTATTTGTATAAATGTCAACACTGACACAACTGGGATATGATATTTGTTCTCACTATAATTAACTATAATAAATATGTTGATATGTTGCCTAGTTGTTATATACGGCGAATTGGCAGATTATTGTTACCGTCGTAAATTAGTAAGACAATTTTTTCTTTATTTAAACTATATAAACTTTCACGTCGCATGCACAAGTGACACAAATTTCTTTCCCTATATCAATACAATTTTTCTTCTATTCCTCAGATAAATGACCAAACCTCAAAAATGGAAGTAAAAATGACTGTTGACGCCCAATTTTAAAATATTTTTAGTTAAAACTAATGTGATTGAATTTCGGATAGAAAACACATTATGAGTAATGGTCAAAAAACACGACAATAGACAATTTTGTAAAAGAAATGAAAAAGAAAAGAAAATAAGGCACACTATTGATTGCGATATTTGATCTTGAAATTGTCTGTTTTGATAGTCCGAACCATTCTTATTGCCTTAACTGAACACTGTTCTACAATATCATCTTGGATTTTAAATTCTAATCTCATTTCAAACAAAAGATACATTAATATTAATATGGCTTTTCAATAGATATATATATTTGAAGTGTAAATAAAACTATAAATTGATTTAAAGTAATCGGTGTTACATTTTATGCAAGAAATACTATGAAAAAAATAAAAAGATGAATAATTATCTTAAATAAAAATAAATAGATAAATTAATAAATAAATGTATAATAAATGAATAATTATTTAATTAAAGTTTTACTTGTTTCAATATTGATAACCTGTGATTTCATGAAATATGAAGAACGACAAATCGACCTTTAGTCTGCTTGCGTCAAAGTCTATTAATGTAACAAGGGAATACCTAAATATGATTATTGTCTAAACTATACGCTTATAAGATTTCTTTTTCTTTTTTAAAATAATGTTCACTTATAATGTTGGATTGATTTGTCCAGAGAGAAAGCTGGACAAATCCACTTTATATATTTATTGCAGTTAGGGTAAAAAGTGTGGCTACAATGTATCATAATTTCACTGGATAGACTGAGAATACAAAAACTATCTATCTAGCCGTTGTTATATTAAAAAAGCAACTGCCTTCAAGTTTCATGGGAATGCTCATTTTAATGCCAAACTAGCTAAAAGGTTCCTATAACACAAATTACATAATCATGTATCATCTGACATTTAGATAGGAACACGCAAAAATGGATGCCGCCAGCAATCAATCTTAAAATTGTGGATATATGTATGTCTGATGACCTCTTCAATAAAAACATTAAAATGTCTTACGTGTTGCCTCGTACATTTAATCAGAGATTTTATATTTCCGAATCTTAAAGATTGTTCAACATGACATCATTGTTGTGTTTGTGGTATTTATTTCTAACTATTTGGCCTATTCTAGATGGGTGGTTCAAATAAAGTGCAAAAAACGTCTACGTCCTGAGCACCGTAGTAAAAGTAAAACTAGAACAACAGTATTTTACAACAGCAACAGTAAGCACGAAAGTATATTATTTTATACAAAAGATATTAAAGTGTTGTGTTTCATTCCTAAAAAATCATCAAACATCCAAGTTTACTACTTTATCTATGAAATGACCAAGGGAAGAAGATAGCCAACAACAGTAGAAAAGCTATCCAACTTTTTGAATTTCAATATTTTGAGTGCCGAAAAAAAACACGCACACTGAGATAATAAAATTGCAAAATGAATATTATGAGAAAATATTATGAAAATGTCAACCTAACAGCTAAAATTATTCCATGTTCATATATTCATACATCATAAATGATAATTAGATAACTATTATATACTTTCCCAATATGACCGCCTAGTAGGCGGCACATTGAATATCCTGTTTATTACCAAACAGTTTTCCGGAACACGAGTTATTTTGCCAGATGATATTGTTCAAACAGGGTACATTGGACTAATAATTTGGGCACTTTTCAGTATACATTCGAAATGGATGGCAATCTAGTGTATATAGTTATAGTTGTAATTTTCTTCATAACAACAGGTAAGATTAATTTATTCGTACAAAAATCAAACTTATAATAAATAGTAATAATCACGTTAAATATGTTGAATGAACGTATAGATAGATAGATTTATTTCGGCATAAAGGTAAACATGTTACATAATAAACAAACACAATATAGATTAAACCAATTACGAATAAATAAATAAGTAAATAAATAAATGAATAAATACTATATTATGTAAACCATGAAATGTTCCCAAAACCAAGGATAACACTAAACAGAGCAAGCTCTTATTTCCATTGTGGCCCTTAGCATTTGGTGGCATGACAAAGAGAGGTATTTCATAAAAGAAAAAAATATCACTAATTATAAGAAAAATCACATTAATGGAGGATATCATTTAAAATTATCACAATTTAGAATGTAAGGTAATGTAAATAAAAGTCAGTATCACATTAAGAAATAATCATGTGCATATTAAGAAAAGATTACATTAAAAAATATATATCACAGTTGTTATGAGTATGTAAGGAAAGAACATGCCATAGATTTCGATATTCAAAAAAGATAAAGTTTTTAAAGTCTTAATAAAAAATTTAAAACAAATTTTAAAAAATTGAAACAGTAAACCTGAGCCGAAAAATAATTCAATAAAAAAATGAAAACATATAAAATTTTCTTGCAAGAAATTTTAAGAAAAACACTTACATGCTTCTTAAAAAGTGATTTTTGATGGCTACCTTAAAACGATGAAATTTGTTAATTTCAGTTATACAAGTTGGAAGACTGTTCCAGAGTTTAGCACATATAAAACTAAAAGACTTTGACCCGGAACCTTTAACCTTGGGAAGACAATACCCTCCTTTATTACTCAGTCTGGGGCAATAAGAATGCATAGATTCCAGAGAAACAAAACAATCACTTAAATACTCTGGGGCTATTTGATTTTTAACCTTAAAAACATGACATAACATGATTTGTTCAACTCTTTTACAAACTGGTAACCAAGTAAGAGATTTAAAATGGGAATGAACTTAGATATCTGAACTCTGTTTAAACCCATTCATCATTTTTAGACAAAAAGTCAAACAATAATAATTGACTGAATAGCCATTATCACACGGCGCGGATGAGACTTTGTTTGCATTCAACGGATGTATAAAAAACATAGTTTTCTAGATGTTCATACTATATCAATCACTGTATTATATATAACAAGAGAATATTTTCAATATTTCATATTGTTTTGGCTATCGACATAACATCAACATATATTTGGCAATGACAAATATATATAATGTATACAAACGCATACAAACATAAATTAATATAATGTGAAGTTGTACTTAATATAATTCAAATCTTGTTTGAGAATGCTCTATGATGGATTCATATCTTGTTTTAGAATTATCTAGGACGACAGAAAATATATAAAACATATATGTACAATTCGGTATTGAATACATGGAATACTATAAACAGAAATACAAAATGACAAAAAATATACACATGTATACCTTTCATATTAAATAAGATTTTGTTATACGAACTTAGAAATTTCCAAAGGTTAAAATCTTAATATATCGTCGACGATGATTACAAAATAAAAGAAAAATACAAATAAAAAAACAACAACAACAAGAACAACAACGTTATTATGCTTATACCTTTTATCATGGCATTTATTACAACGTTTTCATGGAATGGTACACAAGTGTCTCATTGAAGGTTCCATGATAATCGCCATATGAACAAAACGCGGATGTTTCTAAAATAAAATTTGTTTGTGTTTTTGAAATATACTTAAACCGGTACTAGGGGAAAGTGGACGGTGTTTTGCACTTTCTATGAACAGACTCAATCAAACCGAGTCTGTAACATTTTCAAATTAAGCGTTCTTTAGGAATTTCAATTTTCCCTGTCTCATTGACAACGACGAAGATAATTATTCCTTATAATAAAGACGATTGCGTGTAGAGGAGTTTGAATAAAAATTGTGTGATAAAAAAGAGAAAAACGCTGGAAAATGATAATAAATAGTAAGGTGTAGCATTCGATAAATAAGTAAGCTATTGTCGGAAATAAAGAAGTTCACGGATGAGGAACTATGACCCAGAGGATGGTGTTCTTCTGATAACTTATCGGGAGTTCTTCTGTTAACTGCCACGAAGTTCGTCGGATAACTTGTGTATATACCGAAGAAACACTCGTCAAAAATGGTAATTTCATTTTTAAAAAGAGTGATTGAGATGTTAAGTCAAACTTCGATTACTATGCTAGCCTTTATATTATAGTATATGTCCGAAAAAACTTTATAGTCCATTTTTCATCACCTCGTGTTCCGGTAATTTAGTACAATTTCCAATTCATTTGCTCATTCGTACATATTGACCTGTTTCTTTATCATCAAAGTTTAAACCTCAAACTCTCTTTGAAAGATGAAAATAACCATTTATAACGTGTTACGGTATATACAAATGTTTTCCGACGAACTCCATGACAGTCTTGACAAGTGATAAGAAGAAATTCATCCTCCGTGTAACAGTTCCTTACCCGTGAAACTAGTTAATACTCTAATGATCTAACCTGACTAAGATAGTTTCACTTGCTGTCAAAATTAAAGATGTTTCCATGAGCCTGACATAAGACAGAGGTCAGTATTCCGTAAGTGAAAGTAACAAATTTATAAAGGATGTGGTTCTACCAATTATTATATACTGACAAAAAAACTGCTTATATTTTCGTTATTACTAAGAACAACTTGCGTGCACTATACAATGCACTAAACTTACCGACATTTTATCGAATATTTAACGTCAAGATGGCGCAACATTTTGCAGGTGCATATCTAGCGATACTTGATTTATGTTTTATTTGTCACTGGCCGATTTACTGAACCGTAACGGACTGAAACACCACATTTGGAATTTTATTTGACTCGTTAACAAAATGCCACCATGGATTCGAAAATAAAAACGATTGAGATTAAGCTATTGAGAAGAAGCGTTACTAATGTCGTATGGCAGTTTAACTGTCATTGCATCAGAATTATCAATCTGCTACAGCGTTTTTAGCAATATGGATGCAAATAGGATGTGACATTCCTTCAGGTAGGCTAAAGGTAACGACTGCACGCAAAAACTGGTACATTACGTAAAGGCATCTACGTAACAAGTTTAAAACCGCTACAAGTTCCGCAAGACAATTTGGCATAACTAGACAAACCTTTTTAAATAGTTTGAACAGGAATACAAACCCAGCTATGGCAAGGCTGGCACATGTTGGCCAGATTATTGATCCTCGAATCTTCGGAGACACTGGGCTCAACGTCATGTACATTGTACTCGTGTCCAGTGAGCAAGAGCATTGTTAAGCGACGAGTCATGTTTTAATCTATGAGTTACAGATGGTTAAGTACACCTTTTTCGCCGTCGAGGTGAGTCTTTTGCAGATAATTGCTTGTTGGGACGGGATCAATTTGATGGAGGCAGGACTATTGATTTTGGGCGGGATAATTGATGACCGGAAAATAAATTAAGTCGTCGTTCCTGGTAACCTGAATTATCTAAAGTATTGACACTGGCCTCTGTCGAATGGTCATTTCTTTTCAGCGTCAGTGTCAAAATTAACTGATGCACGATAATGCCTTGCCACACACCTCCCTACGTACAACGTTCACGTACTACCATGGCTGTCTTGCTTACTGAACGATAATCTTATTGTGCACATATTGGATCTTTTGGAAGAAGAAATCATATTATTAATAATATCCATGCCTATAATAAAGTCAAAATTAAGAGTGACTTACTTTGTATTAATTTACAGATAAATGTGAATATGTACAGCTGATCTTAGCGGCTTACACCCCAGTTACACAGAGCCATCGGTGATTGATCGGTAGTTTTTTTAGCCAAATTATGGAGTGAACCGATGACAACGTATTTATCACCGACATCACCTATTGGTCACCTGTTTTCCACCTATCAACTGCTATTGGGGAAAGATAAGTTTCGTCGGTGAAAAATTACCGATTGGGATTTTTAAACACGTTTAAAATTCTCGATCGGTGAAAATATTTTAAAAATTACCGACGGCAACCTATATCACGAGATGTGCAAGCTCTTAATCACCGATATCGCCGATCGGACAAAGATAACCAAATATGAATCACCGGCCATATCTGACGGAAAGTGTTTAACCACTGATGACTAGCTATCAAACACCGATTAATCAGCGTTACGCCCGATTTAGCTCCGATTTACAAACGATAAAAACCAAAAGTATTTCAGCATTTAATCATCGACCCATTCCCGTTTGAGTTTGCTTTCTGTCACCGATGGCCGTTTACACAGAAAACCAGAAATAAAATCACGCATGACAACCGATCATAACAGCGAGTAAATTTAAAATTAAATGACCGATTGGGGACCGACCGTCTGTGTAACTGGGCCCTAATTTAGTGATACGAATATGAGAAATTTTTCGTACAAGAATAATTGAAGATGACAGGCAAAAAATAAAGTTACTTCGAGTACAACTTGGATATGATATGGGTTTTGAATGACTACTTTTAAAACAAAAACGAGGCTACATGAAGTGCGATAACAATTTTAAATGTTGAACATAAAAAACGAAAGCACTGCTAAAATAATAAGATCGGCTCCAAAAATGTTTGTATTAATTGGAACATCACATGTTATTAATGCTTGAGGGGCACTGGTAACAGTTTATGAGGGGTGAAATAAATAAAAAAATCTATTTTGCTTTGTTCTGTTTGTAGATGGTTCTGGAAACAGTGTAGTTAATTTGGTTACACCCCCATTTTTTCATTATTTTTTTATCAGAAAACGGTAAACAAATGAATCTTTTTCCAGAAGAAAATGAAGCCTCTTACGATTGACAGTTCAGGAGTCAGAAGAAATGTTAAAAGAATAATCTTCAAACATAAATTAATTTATTCAAAATACAACACAGAAAATTATGAAGAAAATAATGATAATGACAATATTATAAACTTAACTAAAATGCAAAAATA